CCGCGCCCTCAAGACATGGTTGTTCCAGCTTGCGGGACTGGCCTAAGGGATTTTAAAGGGGTTTTAATTACTTTTAATTGGAACAGATTCAAATATTTCTTTTTAATTAATTTTAAACATGTATTGTATTTTCGTATTTTATCTGATTGTTAGCCGCCCTGAGTCCGCAAGGAGAAGGGCGGGATACAAATGTAATAAAATAAATAAATAAATAAATAAATAAATAAATTGTTGTCTGGCTTAATACAAACATGGATCCAACCATAGTGTTTGGTTTAGGCATGATTGTAAAATCATGAGCTTCAAAACTATGGTGAGCACATCAGCATAGACAGGGCCTTCTTTCACATGCTGAACTTCTTTCATGAAAGAAGGACCAGGTTAGGGCATGAAGGAAGGCCCTGGCTAGAATGCGAATGGAGGCCTTGGATGGGGAGCAAGAGGAATCCCATCTACATTGGCATGAAAAAAAGCAACATGAAAGAAGACCCTGATCAGTACAGCATTAGAATGCAATGAAGTGGGCAAGGTGTGGTGGCAGCTGGCTGTAGTAGGTAGATGGGTGGCCAAAAAGACATTTGTAATTGCAGGTGGGCTTCAAATGGATCTGAATTTTGAGGGCGCTGCAATGACTGGAACTTATGAGAACCAGCTCCTTTATTAAACACCACTGTAACTTAGAAAGGTTGCTGAATGATTGGTCTTTAAATGAGGACTATCTATATGTTTACCTAGCTTCATGGCAGAAACATTTGAAAGATTGAAAATAATGTAGTATAACATTAATTATGGAAGGAAAAGCTCTTGAAATATTACATAATACCACTGGATCCTTGTCATGCAAAGTTCTCAAAGCTAAATAAATACTACTAAAATTATTTAAATACTTCCCAACATAATGTAAAGTGCTATCTAACATCTATCAGATCAAAAAGATAGATTGATTTTTATATGCAAACTGGGCATCCATGTTTTTGATCAATTACACGGAGAGGTATTCGTACCTTGCTCTCTTCATTGAAAATTTGGAATTTGACATTGCTGTTGGATTGTTCCACAGTTTGCAGTAAGGCTTGGTATGGAGACTTCCCAGGACTTAAACATTTCTGACGCCTGATGTACACAAAAAAGAACATAAAAAATTATATTACCTGTATTGTAGATGAGAATGTGATCATTTTTCAAGGAATTAACTAAATCTCATTGAGTAACAGGTCTAAATTACATAATTTCAAATCATTAATAACAAGAGACATGTTTTGTTATAATATTTTTCTCTTATTTTCATTCATTGTTAGTCATACAAAGTCATGTATTTGTGACAGGTGGCCATACAAATTGAATAAATAAATCTGGAATACAGGGTTTATTATTATTCTGATTATTTGACAAATGATAAAACAGCACTGGATAAAGTGCAGGAGAGGACAACTAAAATCTGATTACTGATTAATAGCCAAACTCTCTCCCTGGGAGAAACAGTTATAATATCTGGCACTTTTATTGGAAAGAAAGCAACTGAGGAACATACCTGGGGCTTTAAAGTGGTTCATGGCATGGAGAAAGTGGATAGGAGAAGTATTTTGTCCTTTCTCAAAATGCTAGGAAGAGGAACCATCCAATATAGATAATTGGAAGGAGATTTAAAAAAAAGACAAAAGGAAGAATTTCTTTCCACAGCATGTAATTTATTTGTTAAATACAGGTGTACTACTACCAACCCTTGCAATGCCGGTTGCGAGGGAACAAAGATGGGAAGAGATATATCTGTATCTCCTGCTTAGGAATATTCAAAAGGCAGCTGGTTGGCTACTGTGAGAAACAAACTACTGGAATAATATCAACCCTACGAGGTAACCACTTCAGGAACTGGAGTCTACAGGAAAGCTACAACTACACTGTGTTGAGGTAATATAATATTTCTCACATGCTCAGACTTTTCTGTTCACCAAAGTGTGAAGGTTGGAAGATTTTTTTCTTCTCTTCCCCCTTTTTAATCTATATGTTTGAAAAATACTTTTATATTGGTTTGAGAATTGCTGTATTGTGTATTTCATAGTTGTTTTGATTGTAACCTGTCTTGGGAGGCTTTGGCATTTGAGGAAATACATATAGGGATTAAATACATTAATTAAATAAATTTAAAATTAGAGCTAGCATCCTGGCTGAAAAAAACTGTACCACTAATAAATGGCAACAAGAATTAAGGGGTTTTAGTTTTTTGTTTTTAATTTGTGTTGTAAACCATCCAGAATCACGCTGGTGAGATGGGCAGTGTAGAAATTTAATAATTAAATACATAAATCTCTTTGATGCCATGTAGAGGTCACATAGATTTTTTGCAGCAGAGATCTAGGAGCCCTTAAAGTTCCTCTCAATGCAAATTTTGCCCTATAAGATATATTGCTGCAATCATTCTTCAGTGAAAGTTGTGCCATACCTTGTGTTGTTATATGAACACAATATTTGCAGATAACAAAATATTCATAATCTTTACCTGTAAAAGGCAATTTGCTTGCATGTCTTAAAATGCTTTTTATCCACAGCCTCATCTTGAACGCTAAATATGAGAAAATATAATATTTTTAAAATGTATAGTGAAGAAAAAAATATTATTTTCTTATCAGCTATAGTCACCGGAACCAGCTTATTCTAATGCGTATAATGGAAAGTTCTGAAATAGCTGCCTGGGTTAATTGCATACTGGTCACATTAAGCAGCTACACTAGAAATGGATTCTGCATTACACATAATATTTGCAAGAATGAATCACATTCATTTATCAATATTATTTCAAACAAGTGAAACCTTTATTGCCAATCGTCTGAGAAAATACAAGTCAATTAAATCAAGACATTCTTATGGTGTCCTTTTAAAATTTTCAAACTGATTGTCTTCTTTAAGCAGATATTGGTTACTTATTCCAATTCTTAAGTATACAAACCTGCAAAAGTCAGCTCAACCAGTAAAGTGAACACATGTCCAAGTCTGCTTTAATGCTCCTTATTAAATTAAGCAATGAACTAATCCATTTCATAATATTTTTAATATCATTATTTTTTATTTTTATTTTATGCTGCCTAGGGTGGATAGTAGTCATATAAATATGGTTGATACATACATACATATATACATAAATAAACAAATAAATATTTTCACAATCAGGTCAAACAATATAAACAGCCAAACAAAATAAACACTAAAGGTAAAACTGTTGTAGGGCAGTAAAATGTATGCTTTCTCACTGCAAGAAACACTAATCCTACTATAATTAAATCAAGGGGTGCTGATTTGATTATACACACATAGAAAATATTCTGTCACTGTTAGAATTCAACAGAATTCAACAAGCCAAGCTTGATTGAAATAGAGAACTATGAATAAATAATTAACTTCTACATGTGACTGCATTAATCAAGTTTGCAACAAGGCTATCACATTGAAAAAAGGTAAAACAATAATTAGGTTTACATTCACTTTCTTAATTAAGCTTCCTGTCTAAGAGTCATGTGATTGATTTTGTATTTCTGGAACTCCTTCATTTTATACTTGGTAGTATAATTACACTATTTATTACATAGCATATTAATGTCAATGCTGTAATTTTATTATTTGCATTCCATCTATATTTTTATTCCCAGCTCTGTAGCTGTGTAATCTTAATTTCTGCATGAATTCAAACTAGCATTTTAGAACTAAAAATTATTTGGATTCTTTTAGAATCATGCATTGTGCTTAAGTAAGATTTGCATATCAGTTATCAGCAAAATCATATATATTTAATCTACCTGATTTCTTCACAGCTTGGTTCCATGATCGGGAGTGAGATATTTTTGAACCATTCGTTAGGAAATGAAGAGGAAATTCTCTAGCCAATAGGTTTCCATTTCACATTATCTTGTTGCATGCTGGGAAATGGAGTTTTTATTTCTGATAGTCCTGCCCACTTGACCAATAAGGTGGAAGAGACGACAGCATGCAAATGCTTTGCTGGTAATATTTCTGTAGCGCTCAGCAAGCTGCATTCAGGATAGATTTAAAGAAGTATTACTTCCTATTACTGTTTTCTTCTTAAATCAGTTTAGTAGTACAGGAATAAAGTAAGTTTTGCTTGTGGAGTTATGCCAATTCCTAGTTCCAAAAATATGAATAAAAGTTAATATCAATATTAATTTGTTCAAAAATATTAAGATCTCTTAGTTTTTATTCATCACTTTTACCTCTTTGTTTAATTATACAGTATTGTGGCTCTCCCTTCCCCTTCTGAAGTTTCCAAGTGATTTCTCTGTGTCCCTTTTGGCACTTTTAAGAGACCATCTGCTATCAACATTTCAGAAAGGCAATTTCTGCTTAACTCATACTTTGCATCAGTTTTCACATAAAAAGAAACTATAGTCCAACATACCAAAAAAACCCATTGCAAAAGACAAATTAGAAACAAAAATTAAAATAAGCAAGCAAATGGTAAGAGAACACCTATCTGACCTTGACAAATATAAATCATCGGGGCCTGACAGATTACACCCCAGAGTTCTGAAGGAGCTGGCAGATTTTATCTCAGAACCATTGCACCACATCTTCCAAAAACCCTGGAGCACCGGGAAAGTACCTGAGGATTGGAAAGGGCTGATGTGGTTCCCATCTTCAAGAAAGAAAGAAAAACAGACCCAGGAAACTACAGACCAATCAGTTTAACTTCAATACCTGGGAAGATCCTAGAAAAGATAATCAAAAAATAGATCTGCGAACAACTAGAAGCAAACAAAGTTATAACTAGTAGCCAGCATGGGTTTGTTAAAAACAGATCATGCCAAACCAATCTTATTTCATTCTCTGACAAAGTGACTAAACTAATAGACCAGTGAAATACTGTGGATGTAGTATACTTAGATTTCAGTAAGGCATTTGATAAAGTAGACCACAACCTACTCCTTGGTAAGTTAGAACAGGACTTTTCAACCAGTGGTACGGGTACCACCTGTGGTACATTGGCACCTGGCAGGTGGTACGCGACCATCCTAGAAAAGTGGGAGCGGGGGAGGGGAATGAGAGTGCTGCCGGGCGGGCAGGCAGGTGTCTTGCTCGGCTGTGTCTTGGGGGGCACTTTTTTCAGTGCCATTGTAACTTTGAATAGTCACTAAGCAAACTGTTGTAAGTCGAGGACTATCTGTACTTTATCACTTTTTTCCTTTTTTGGGGGGGGTCATCAAGTTTTTGACACCTTGCTAGGCGACTGGTGGTACTCGGATATTGCTATATCCTAAAAGTGGTACAATGGGTGAAAAGGTTGAAAAGCCCTGAGTTAGAAAAAGGTGGAAAAGACAACATCACCACCAGATGGATCTGTAGCTGGCTGGCAAACCCTAACCCTAACCCGCTTTATAAGACCTTAGTAAGACCACACCTGGAATACTGCAGCCAATTTTGGTCACCATACCACAAAAAAGATGTTGAAAGTTTGGAAAAAATTCAGAGAAGAGCAACTAAGATGATCAAAGGCCTGGAGACTAAAACATACGAAGAACGGCTGCAGGACTTGGGTTTGGCTAGTCTAAAGAAAAGAAGAAATAGGGGAGTCATGATAGCAATATTCCAGTATTTGAGGGGCTGCCACAAAGAAGAGGGGGTCACGTTATTCACCAAAGCACCAGAGGGCAGAAGAAACAATGGTTGGAAACTGACCAAAGAGAGAAGCAACCTGGAATTAAGGGGAAACTTCCTGACAGTGAGGACAATTAACCAGTGGAATAGCTTGCCCCTGGAAATCGTGGGCGCTCCATCACTGGAGATTTTTAAAAAGAGGCTAGACACTCACTTGTCTGAGATGGTATAGGTTCTCCTGCTTGAGCAGGGGGCTGGACTAGAAGACCTCAAAGGTCCCTTCCAACTTTATTCTATTCTAATTAGGAAATGTATATTCAAAATTTCTCTATAGAATTAGCGCAGAGTGGGTATTTTTTAAGAGCTGATAGAACAGCTATTTTGCACTGAATTAAACTTAATTCTGGCTCCAGATCAAAGCTGTGTTCTAGAATAGCCTATGGTAAATAAACTTCCTTCGGATCCTGCCTGATTTCTTGTGATATCATGGATACATCCAAGTAGTTTTTGTTAAGTCCGGAGAATAATGGTGCTTGAGACGAAGCATTTCTAACAAGTCTTTATTCTCTGCTTCCAATCTACGAACAACCCGAGCAGAGGCACGCAGGCCTCTATTTATACCTTCTGATCCCCGGGCAAATACAACCAATCATGAGGCGGTCTTTTCCCGCCTTGCGCATGCGCGCAAGGCCGGCGCCACTCAGTCTGGTCCCGGGCAGCTTTTGCAAATGCTCGGGACTCTTGCAACGTCCCGAGCCTGCTTTTGCAGGCTCAGGACACAACAGTTTTCCTAACACAATGCTTCAGTGGTTGATATCCTGTTCTTCCAGGATATTTTTCACGTACTGTTCTAAATCATAGCTCTAATATTTTGTAGTGCTCTCTTTTCCAAATACTAACCAGGTCCAATTCTGCCTAGCTTTTGGAAAACAAAAGCTGATTGCAAAAGGCCTCAGATTGGTTTTGTTCATGGTACAGATGAATCTCATATGAAAAGAAAATATTTATAGGATCTGAATGTACTCTTAAATGATGTACAGGTAGTCCTCAACTTACAACAGTTTGTTTAGTGACTGTTCGAAGTTACAACGGCACTGAAAAAAATGACTTTATGACCATTTTTCACACGACCATTGCAGCATCCCCACGGTCACGTGATCAAAATTCAGGGGCTTGGCAACTGGTTCATATTGATGTCCATTGCTGTGTCCCAAGGTCACGTGATCACTTTTTGCTACCTTCTGACAAGCAAAGTTCGGGGGGGGGGGGGAAGCCAGATTCTCTTAACAACCGGATTGCTAACTTATCAACTGCAGTGACTCGCTTAACAGCCGAGGTCATAAAATAGGGCAAAACTCACTTAACAAACGTCTCCCTTAACAACAGAAATGTTGGGCTCCGTTGTGGTCGTAAAGTCGAGGACTACCTGTACTGAACAAAGATTCTGCCTGTTTAACAAACAAATAATAGAAAGGATGCAAAGTCAGTATTCCGCCGCGAGCAAGCCTAATACGGAACACAATACAGGAAATCCGCGCTCGCCAGCCTCACAACTGGTTCCTAACCCAACCGCGCGGAGAGAAGAAGCCTCTCGCCCGCCACCGCCACTCTCGCGAAAGCCCCGCCGGCTTTGCGGAAGAGCCACGCTCCCCGCCCACCTCGCCTGGGCGCCAGAGCCAATCCGCCGGTGCCCCATCACCCGCCCTCGGTCCGGAGACTCGGCGGTGGAGCGGAAGAGGCGGCGAGCGCTCCGGGGCAGGTTCTTCCCTTGTTGATTTCGCTGAAAAGGGATGGCGGTGCCAGGCGCGTCGGGGAAGATGCTGCTGTTGCCGCGGGGCCGCCTCTCTGCAGGACTGACTCTGCTGCTCCTCCAGCTCCTCTTTGCGGAGCTGCCGAGCCCGGCTGGAGCCAGCCAGCTCTCCAAGTGGGAAGTGCCGCTGCCCGTGGTGAGCTCGCAGGGCAGCCCGCCACGCCACGCCACCCCGTCCTGTTGAGTGGGCAGGGCGAAGAGGAGGGAAGGTGGCCTGGATCTGACCGGGCTGGACGCCCCTGCCCGGGGCAGGGTTGCCGTGAAGGCGGGGGAGGGGGGTTGTCGATTGGAGGCTCCGCCACCTGGAGCGTTTCCATCTTTCCAGTCTTCCTGGGAGGGCTGCCTTCTGGGATGAGGCAGTTTGGGCAGCTTGTGCCGTTTGTTTTGGTGTCCGGTTTGACCCACCCGGACAAGGTTTTGCCTCTGTTTTGCTTTTTAAGAACTGACACGACTGGGAACAATCCATTTTTTCAAACTCCTGCAATGTGCGTGGTTCAAAATATAATCGGGAAGCAGGCCCTGAGCTTCCATACGTTATTTTTGTCTCAACGCTATTATATGCATGTGTGGAATAGGAGCTTTGGTTAAAGAGGAAAAAGATCCTGTGGATGAAGGGTTGGTTGCCCATCCAATTAGAAGACTAGGCAGTGGCAACATTGTTCCAAAAATCTATTAATAAAGAGAGCGCTGAATATTTTATTGCCGAAAAGATTAATCTAGCAGCGATATGAGCTAATGCTGATGACATTTGCAGAAAGATTTTAGCACCCACTTCTGTTTTATTAATGGGACCGCCTGCTATGATAATCTGGGAGCTTCCCCTGTCTTAATTTCTTATAGAAGAAATGGTATAAGAGTTGGATCTTGAAAGTAATTATTACTGGTATTTGATAACAAAATACTGGAACAAGTGCATTTCAGAACACAAGTATGGAGAAATAACATAAACCAAAAGGTTGTGGCAGGCCATCTGAGCCCTTATCTGTTTTGCATGTGTTTGTATCCTATCTTTCACAGACTTCAGATAGTATGTTTTCTTCTTTCTTGCTACAATCTTTGTGATTTATACTGTATTAGGCTCATTGTGAGTAGTTGGCTCAAGATAGCAGAGATAAGTGATCAGAGTGAGGATTTAAACTTGAATATCAGGATGTTTTCAAATAGACATTTGATGAAAGCAATATGAACTTTTTTCTCTTTAGTTGATGGTTGTTTGTATGGAAAAAAAATCTATAGAAAATTTAGTATTTACTGACTTGACCTTCCAAATACTTTTGCAAATTAGGCAAGCAGTGCAGAAAAATCATATTTAGGAGTATTCAAAGTACCTATCACATCATGCACTTTTATATGTTTAGGTAAAGCAAATCTTCAGTTTTAATCAGGTGCCATTTTTAATATGTTGCACCT